ATATGTTTTTATAGTAAATTTAAGTATCGAACTGGTATCGAAATGGTATCGAAGTGGTATCGTTAGGAGCCCTACTCTTTATATATATTTTTTAAATATTAAATAATATAAATTAAATTAAACAATAAAATTTCAGTATTAAATTTTTTTTAATAAATTTGAATTTAATTGGTTATAATTTGATAATTAAATAATCTAATTTGAACTAATATAATTTGATATTAAAAATTTAAAAATTAGATATAAATTTATTAACAGAAACTATACTAGTAAACTGTTTAGTTATAATATAATATTTATATTATATTGTTGTATTTTGATTATAGAATATTATAAATAATTAAAAAAAATCATTTTTTATTTATTTTTACTTTGATAAAATATTTTTTTTTTAAAAAATTTTCATATATATATATATTTTTCTGTTTAAAATTAAATCTTATAACAGAACCAGTCTAAAATATATTAATATTATATAAGATTTTTTCAATTAGTAAGTATTATTTATCAAGAAGCATATATATATATAATACTAGTTAATATATTTGAAGAAACACTTTTGCTTAAAAAAGTATAAATAAATAAATTTCTGTATATATCAATAGTTTGAGACAAGAGTAAAAACAATTTTGAATAAGATCAATTTTGTTTTTATAAAGTACTATATATAGTTGATAATTATAAGTTTCAAAATAATTTTATTCTTTTTATTATCTATTTGTCTATCTCTTTCTTCAAGTCTTCTTATCTATTTCCTTTAAATAGTTTTTTTTTTCTCTTTTGAATTTTTAATTCCTAAAACTACATTTATTTATTCTTATATATCAATCTACTTTATTATTTTTAAATATATTAAAAGTAGTTGTTTTCTATTAAAAATAGACTTTTTAACAAAAATTTAGTCTTGAATACTTTAATTAATAATATAAATATTTTATTACCTAATATTAAAAAACAGTAGTTAGTCAATCTTTTTCAAAAGATTAATAAAGAATAATAATACTATATTAATTATAAGATCTTTAATATAAATAGAATCATGACTATTAATCCTAACTAATATGGCAGATTTTATAATATAGTATAACAATATAAGTTAAAAGTTATTTTTAAAGAAATCTAATTATGAAATAGATAAATAATAATTTCAAAAAATCTTTTGATGATTTATTAATATATATAAGTTATATTCTGCTTGATATTTATGTCCTTAAATTTGATAGTTAAGACTAATCAAAAGTTTTTGAAATGTCTACTAGAATATTTTGAAGTAATATCTTACTTAATTACTTTGACTTCTAGATTTGATAACATTTGTTAATTGAAAAATTTATTCTTGAAGTATTCATGTTAAATATCCAACAATTTTATTATAAACAGCCATTAAGAAATATAATAAGCAAAGATCAACATGTATCTTATAAATTTCTAATAAAAATAAACTTAGCAGATTAGATGGTTTAAACTGATAGCAAGACTTCCACCTAATTAAATCCTATCTGATATGTGAGTCCACTTTCTTAATGTAAGTTTGCATATATTGGATTAATTGCAATAAGCTACAATTAATTTACATTTGTAAAGATTGTTAATGTAATGACAATAAACTTATGATTTAAATAAAATCTCACACTTAATACTTATTTGCAGAAGAAAAAAAAAATTAATAATTAATTAATTAGAGGTAAAAAAATAAAAATAATTTATATAAGTTAATAAAAAGTTTGCATGTAATGCGCTTTGCCTCTAAAATAATAATAATAATAATAATAATAATTTATATATTTATAATACAATAATATTTTTGAATTTGTATTATATAAATTCATGTTTAAGTTTATCAAATAATAAAATCTATCAATTTATAAAAAAACAAGAATCAATTGTTACTTAATTGAATATAAGTAAATAAAAGAATATAATATTTATATCAACTTTTGATGTATTAAGTTTATTACACTTTTTACAGTTGTTAATGACTGAAAGTATTCCACTATTTAATACAAATCATCTAAAATTTTAAAAGGGTCTTGTTTTTGTTTTTTCACGGAAGGAGGTGAATTTGCTGTACTGTGTAATGGCGACGATGGTGGAGATGGTGTACTTAACCTTCTTTGAGCAATTTCTCGTATCTTTTTAACTTGGTCAAGTAACGTGTGCTATATAGAAATACAACGATTCAATCAGTGATTTAAAAATAAAGCGCCACACAGTCATTCTGTACATACTCGTAATGCAAGAAGGTTTTCCAAAAAACTAGGTAAAAGGTCTTCTAAGTCTGAAAGCGTTGTAGGAAGAATCAATGTCGCCATATCAACAAAAAAATAAAAATTTTGTGAGCTATCATATGAAAGAGAGTAGACCGTCCAACTTATATCTGTGTAGAATAAAAGAAATTTTCGGTAAAAGAACAAAACATTGAATCTATAACTTAAATATCCTTTACTTACCAGTTATTTGAATTCCGAGAGTGAAAATACCTTCAAGCTCCACCTTTTTAAAATGCAGTTTGCTCCATAAGGTGTCTAAACAATCTTTCATGACTATTTTAAGTTTTGAGTGATCTTTCCTGTATTTAGTATCATCCATGGGCCCTTCTGTGTTTCCCACTTCAAGTGGTAACAACTCATTTTTATGACTTCGCAATGTAACCATCAAATCCATTTTTTTCATACTAGTAGTGAGATCCACATATTCTTCGTGCATCGCCTTTCGTTTTCGATTTATAACACTGCGAGACTCTTTCTCGATCCTATCCAAAGTCTTCAGGTTAGCGTCATAATTCGTAATAAACAATATATGCTCTAAGACATCATTACATACCAGTTAAGCTCAAAGATACCGATATCAAATTCTTCTAGAAGCGTGCCAATTATTGGACTAAGAACTTTAACAATGAAGTCACGTTCTCTATGTTTCAAAATCAGGACATTTACTTCTCTTCGTAAGCAACAATGACTAAATAGTAACCAGTCAGTATTTGCAAAGAAGATATAACGCTAAAGTATTTAAAATAAACTTACAAAAAGTTGATTATTTCAACAATTAGTAATGAATCTTCGGATGAAGTTTCCAAGTTTATAAACTTATTCTTCCACGTTATTAGATCATTTAATGATCGCTAACAACGGACATCATAATAATTGTGTGATATTGTGAAAGTTAGAAACCATATTATGACTGACTTACTATTCGGCCAGGTCCATCACGTAGCAATTGTCCCACATCATTGTTAATTTTGTCTTTAGAAAGCCTTTTTCTTGATTTAATGAATAATTGCGAATAGTCTGACGCCTTGAGGATCCTGTTCCATTCGATTTTAGTCCAGTCTGAGAGATCCACAATTCGTGACTCAATTGATCTGGAAATAGATAGCGATTAAATAAACTTATACATTATTTATGAAAAAGCAGTTGCAATAACATACTGCACTCGCAAGTTATCTTTTTTTAATCGTTCCATAACCTTTATCCAAATTTCTTCGAGATTTAGGTTGGAGAAAAGTAAAGCAGATACCTATGTTTAATCGTCATTGAAAGATGTCTATGTTGTGAAAAATGTGGTTTAAATAAGATATTCTCATTGTATTACCTTATTTACAACGATTTTGTCAATTTCTGCATCATCTACCTCTTGAGCATTTTGGTCGTTAGCTTGTGTGCTACTTGATATTTGTATAGCTTCGGAAATGTTATCAGGATTCGTCTTGAGAATGAATAAGAATATAAGTAGAGTAAAATATGATTTGATAAAATGACAACAACAAACCTTGACCGTTTCTCCAACGTTGACAGTAGTTGATGTCATGGCCATAGAAGTTTGAAAAGAGCTCAACTTCGTGCCAATCATTTGCACCGCGACTTCTGATCCATATAGATTAGTTTTCGTGTCAAATAAATTTTCGTTTGCCTGTGAACTGGTTAATTTTTTGTATAGACCAAGTAATGTAAATTAAGAAATATAATTTACCTTTTTATCCATTTGATCAAAAAATGCTATAACTTCTTTGAACTGAAAAAATCTTTCTGCATCATTATAAAGCTTCGTAGCTTTATCTCGCGCTTTTTTATTTACTGAATTATGGGTACTTATTAATTGAAGTTGACATTTAAATTCAGCTATAATGTCCTCACGGTTCTCAGATGTCACCGTTGAA